TTTAAAAGTATATTTAAAGGCATACAAAGATTTAAAAATAGTTTTAAAGGATTTACAAGAAGTTTCCAAAGGTTTTTGAAGGGTTTACAAAGGTATTACAAGTTCTTTAAAATGGGTTTTAAGGATTTACAAGGGTTTTTAACAGGTTTTAGAAGTTTACAAAAGTTTTTATTAAATGATTTATCACTGTTATAAGTGGTTTAAAGGGATTTACAAGTGTTTATAAATGTTATAAAATGATTTACAATGGTTTTAAAAGGTTTACTCAAGTTTTAAAAGATTTTGGATGACTTTTAAAAGATTTACAAGGGTTTTTAAAGGTTTTTTTAAGGGATTTATAAATATTTACAAGGTTTTTTTAAGAAATTGCGGAAAAATTTTGGATGAAAATTTTTGGCGGGAAAATTTTTGTCGGAAAATTTTTGGCGGGAAAATTTTTGCCGGAAATTTTTGGCGGGAAAAATTTTGCCGAAAATTTTTGGCGGGAAATTTTTTCGGAAGGAATATTCTTTTTGTTGGAAAGAATATTCCTTTTTTCATCATGGATTATAATAAAAGAGGGTAATTTAGTCATTTTGTACATTAAAGAGGGTATTTTTGAAAATGAGCACCTAGAGAGGGTATTTGTAGAAGAGGGTATCATAATAAAGGTTAGTTGTGCAAATCTCCCTTTTTTTATAAAGTTTGAAATAGGGGTATTTTTAAAAAGTGGTATGGAAAAGGGTAATTTTGATAATTAAAAAGTAAAAAATTGATATTTATAAAAAAAATGTATAAGCTTATATATTTAGACACACATTATCTTTCTATGTGTGTAAATTTAAATACCATATAAATACCTTTTAAAAACGTTTTAAAATTATTTACAAAACATATAAAAACTTTTTAAACCTTATAAAAACCTTATAAAAGTCTTATAAATGCCGTTTAGAACCTTTTTAAAACTTTATAAATATTTGTATTGAGTCTCTCAATAGTAATGATGATCTAGATGTACCTTAAAAACTATATAAAAGTTTACAATTTTTCATATTTGAAAAGGGATATTTTTAAAATAGATAGAAAATTGGTGTATTTTTTAAAAGGGGTACACCAAAATGGGTATTCCTCAAAAATTCTCTTTCAACTATTAACATAATTTTTGGTTTTGCCAGTTGTAGGTTTTACAATTATAAGGGTTATATGTTGAGTTTATAAATCTGTATTATAATTTAGATTTTATAATTAAACGAGATTATTTAACGGTTTGGGTTTATTAAAGAGGAGTGAGATTTAG